GGAAAGGTTTGGGTGGAATCATCACGTACACGTCTACTCCTTTTGCGCCACCTTTCCTTTTGCTCTTTGGATCATCCTCTGTCTCTCCTTGTCTATGCAAAATGAAGGTCTCCTAATGTTGCTGAGCTGGGGCATGCGGTAGTACTGCTCCTCGGAGCGGTAGTACCGGCCTCCGGCGCGGTAGTACCGCAAGTGCTCACGGTAGTACCGCACCTCGGGAGCGGTAGTACCGTGGCCTCAGGCCAGGCGCTGCTGCTAGTGCTGTAGTAGGGGTGGATGTAATTTTTTTTACATCCGCGCCTACGCGGTAGTACCGCTCCATGGGCGCGGTAGTACCGTGCGCTCTGTTCAGGCTCAGCAGCATGAGCGGTAGTAGGGGTGGATGTAATTTTTTGACATCCGTGCCCTATGCGGTAGTACCGTGTCGGATTTTTGCATGGACCAAAACTCAGTAGAAGTAGTCACTGATGTATTTTTATATGTCCATGCCTTCCCGGCCTAGTCCATTCCTGCCTTGCGGTAGTACAAAGGGGCGCGGTAGTACCGCGCCAATGGTTCTACCGCTCCTTGACTTAGCGCTTCAGGACTGGTCTTAGGCCCTGTCGTGGCAGCGGTAGTACCGCGGTTCACCGTGGTAGTACCGCTTGTTTGGTGCGGTAGTACCGCAGGTCACGAGCTGGTTAAGTGGATAACGGTTGGATTTGTTCTTTCACTATATAAGGGGTGTCTTCTTCTCCGAGATGACCACCTCTTCCATCTCTAAGCTCCATTGTTGCTCTAAGCTCCTTTTTCTCCCGATCTCCTTCCCTGGCCGATCAAACTTGTTGATCTTCTAGGAATTGGTTGAGAAGGCCTAGATCTACACATCCACCAAGAGATATTTGATTCCCCCACTAATCCCTTGCGGATCTTGTTACTCTTGGGTGTTTGAGCACCCTAGACGGTTGAGGTCATCATGGAGCCATACTCCATTATGGTGAAGCTTCGTGGTGTTGTTGGGAGCCTCCAATTAAGTTGTGGAGATTGCCCCAACCTTGTTTGTAAAGGTTTGGTCGCCACCTTCAAGGACACCAATAGTGGAATCACAGCATCTCGCATTGTGTGAGGGCGTGAGGAGAATACGGTGGCCCTAGTGGCTTCTTGGGGAGCATTGTGCCTCCACCGCTCCAAGCCTCCAACGGAGACGTACTTCCTCTCAAAGGAAAGGAACTTCGGTAACACATCCTCGTCTTCACCGACTCCACTCTTGGTTATCTCATCCCTTTACTCGTGCAAGCTTATCTTGTGTTACTTCCCTTGCTTGCTTGTTTACTTATTGTTGTTGCATCATATAGGTTGCTCACCTAGTTGCATATCTAGACAACCTACTTTGATGCAAAGTTTAAATTGGTAAAGAAAAGCTAAAAATTGTTAGTTGCCTATTCACCCCCTCTAGTCAACTATATCGACCCTTTCAAAGAGGAAAGGGACCGTGATTGTGAACAAATTAGTGTTTGAGGGCCTTTTTACAAATATGCACGACTGGTTGTTACTCCTCCTAGTCCCTCCTGTCCACGTGGTCACGGTCAAAGAGCCAAGTAGGCAGGTCAGCGCTGGTCAGACGGATTTAGGACCTCGAATGAACAACTTAAAAATATTTAGGACCCAGATGTATTTTGAAAGAATTAGAACCTAGTCAATACTTTGGTGAAAGAATTAGGACGGGCCATGCATTACTATTTTTCTCTCGCCTCCATTAATCACATGCATGTGACCGGGCATAAAAGGTGAAAAGTGAGGGACGTGACTGCGTGGGTGGGAAAATTGGGAGTCAAAACGGGCATGCATGGATGTTGATTGGGCGTGTCCGCGGACGTTTGAGGGGCCAACATTGTTCAGTCCAGTCGTAGATGCCCTAATTCACCTTATTTTCGAGCAATGTTGTTTTTGTTCGAAAATAATCAACTTTATTATAAAATTTTATCAGAAGTACAAAACATCTCAAACATAATAAAATTGCATCGAGACTCCGTGACTATCGAACGACCACTACTATCGTTCGAAGGAGCCGCCGACGTGTCATCGTCGTCGCTCCCGTAGCTACCGGAGTTGGCTTGACCTTATCGATGACAGCTGGAAAATGTTCATGCATGTGCCCCTGAGGACCAGAGCCATGTAGCCGCAATTGTTGTCGTTGAACCCTTGGATAAATCTAAAATACCTGACACGAAATCTCGCCACATGACGTGAAACCCTAATATCACCGCCCCAAGCAGATGACAAGAATCAACGCCGGAGCTCCGTCAACTACGTCTCGACGGACGAACTCGAGGAGGATCCGAGCCCGAAAGACAAACTCGAAGAAGCCCCGGCACCCCGAGTGCCGCGCCTGTGAGGATTAAAAACTACTAACCGGAGCGGAGGCATCGGGATTCCGGATTCCCATCCCCTCCACCGACCGCCGGAGAGGCGGACAAAGGTGAGGCGGATCCACGAGAGTTTAATTTGCCCTAGCCGCCTAGGGTTAGGGGGGCCATATTTCTTTTCTTGTATATAATCTTGGATTTATATGTGCATCTATTTTTTTTGGAATTGTTTGGATTTATATGTCCATCTACATGTAGAAAAGAAATTGTATTGAGAATAAAGGAGAAAATATATTTACCCGCAAGAAAAAAACGAAAAAAAGATGTATTTATCACCGACAAGCAAAGGATATTCTTGGCAATCATGAACCAAGAAAGATTAGCCAGCAGTGTACTCCTACACAGTCACGGTTACACAGCTAAGAAAGATTAGCCAGCAGTGTACTCCCACACAGCCACAACTGTGTAACGAATCAATGCGTGACTGTGTTCGATAACTACATACGGAGGAAGGAGGCTGGGAGATGAGAGCACAGGCTTCCGGACTCTCATTCCTCGGAGATTTTTACCCGGGGGTTCCCATCGGCCCAAGATCCTGCGATCTTTTTCGTCGTGTCCGCTCCTCCCACACACACTCACAGGGGTGTCGCTGCCAGAATCTTCACGTACAACAGCGCCGCTGCGCCACACCGCTCTGTTCCTACACATGGCCTGAGAGTATATCACCTTCTGTGAACACTTGCCGCTACATTGCGTTACCTTTGATCGAGAAGCATACCTGTGCTGTGCGTGCTGCGTCTGCGCACGAAGTGGATTTGAGGATAAGATGCAATCATCTTCATCTGGTGGACCTGCATCACTGCACCAGCCGGAGGCCGGCGGAGCAGCGCCACAGGCGAAGTGAGCGTGGAGCAACTGGTCGGAGCGTGACGGGTCCAAGAGGGATGCCAACGGACGAACCAACGGGGTGGCTAGCTAGTGACAGACCGACAGGGGATTAGCTAGCCGCAACTCCCGGGCGGCCATGTGCGACTAACATGGCGTGGGGCTGGCCCTGGGGAACTGTTGCTTTCTGAAACCGATGGCGGAGCCGAGCGGCGGAGGTGGCCGCCTGCTTGACACCGGCGAGGTGCGGCGGCGGTGCCATGTTACGTGTAGGCGACGATGGGAGGGTCAGCGTAGAAAATTTGTAAGAATCGCCGATCGATGTAAAGACTCGGCCATGCATGCATGCATGTGCATCCTGCATGAATGAGCAGGGTACCAAAGCTTTGTCTGAAAGCTGCTGTTGGATTTACGTGCACATACACTGCTCGGGCCTCGCTCTCATCTACACAGGGCCGAGCCATGTTACGTGTCCCGTTCACGTGAGCGGCCATGTGCGCTCCAGTCTTCAGGAGCCCACACCAAGGTTTTGCCTGTTCAAACCTTAATTGAGCATCCACCTTAAAGTTAGCGTGCGCTGATCATTGGAGCCGGTTGTTAATCACTTCAGTTGAGCATGCATGGTTCCCTTGGTACGTGTGGGTGGTGTGCACAGTACGTACGTTCGTGTGCATGGCACATTGGCATGGCTGGCTCCATGGGCGGGCCGGGGCAGCTTCATGTGCCGATGTGCGTCCTGCCCCGACAAATCCACGATTTCCTTTTTGTATCCGATGGTCCAGTGTACTCCCCAGCAGGACTAAGTTAAGTGACCCGAGATTAGCAGTGGAGTACGTTTGGTGGAGCTGCATGGCTCCCACTGCAACAATACGTTCGTCGAACCATCCAACACAGGCAGCGAGTTCCTGGACCATGCATGCAGCTGCTACTTATCCATCCCAAGTAGTCAAGTTGGGCTAGGTCGGCATGCACTTGCGCCGTTACGCGCCGATCATGAGTGGATTATCATCACGTAGTATCTAGTAGCAGACACGCCATGCCGCGCTCGCACCGCGTGGCCGAGCACCGTGACACAGAAACACGACCGGATTCCTCCCTCCCTAGCTCCCTCCGGCGGTCCGGCCCTGCCACACACGGCTACGCGCGCATGGTGGAGACGCCTTGCCGCCCATGAGTTCCACGGAGTTAAGGCACGCTGTGCATGCATGCGTGCTCTGCATCCTGCCCATGGCCGAGTCCTGCATGGTCCTGGCTCAGCTAAGCGGCCGGCGAGAGCCATGTGGGGAGTAGGGCACCGCGGGACCCCACGGCGACTCGTCGCGCCACCAGTCCACCACACACACGCGCGCTCGGCCGGGCAAGCGGTTGGTGCCCGTTACGTACGCGCGCGCGCGCCCGATGCCAGCCGAGGACACTCGCATGTGCGCCTGATTTGTATGTATTAACTGCCGCGCGCCCCCGTGGCCGTGGTCACCCCGCACGTCAGAGCCGGCCTTCAATCTCCCATTTTCCTCCCTCTCCCTCTCCCACTCATCAAATCGTCAGGAAAAAAGAAGAAGTGATATTAACCTGCACGGCCCCGATCGAGCTTGCAATCCAACCGCCACCGGCACCGAGCTTTACTTTGGCTATATATACCCCGGCTGGGAGGAGGTAGCTCCTCACTGCCAACCAGCCATTTCGAGCCTAGCTAGCTTTAGACGCCATATCCCCTCGAAAGCTAAGCTAGCTTGCTGATACAGGGAAGCTCTCCCTCTCTCTCTCTCAGCAATGGCGGGCACCGGTACTCTCTTCTTCCTCTTCTCCTCCTTCTGCCTCCTGGCCCGGCAGGCCGCGGCCGGCGGGTACGGCGGGTGGCAGAGCGCCCACGCCACCTTCTACGGCGGCGGCGACGCCTCCGGCACCATGGGTAAGTCCCCGCCGCCGCGGCTGGCGAATGCAATGCGTAAACGCCTGCCACACAGACACAGACACTCACGCGCGCGGGCTGTTTGTTGGGTTTTGCAGGCGGGGCATGCGGGTACGGCAACCTGTACAGCACCGGGTACGGCACGAACACGGCGGCGCTGAGCACGGCGCTGTTCAACGACGGCGCGGCGTGCGGGACGTGCTACGAGCTGCGCTGCGACAACGCCGGCAGCTCGTGCCGGCCGGGGTCCATCCTGGTGACGGCCACCAACTTCTGCCCGCCCAACTACGGCCTCCCCAGCGACGACGGCGGCTGGTGCAACCCGCCGCGCCCCCACTTCGACATGGCCGAGCCGGCCTTCCTCCACATCGCGCAGTACCGCGCCGGCATCGTGCCCGTCTCCTACAGAAGGTGAGAAGAAAATCAAAAAAGTTACAGTGTACCACGACCGACCGATCGAACCGATGGGTTAAATTGACCGGGCGTCGGTCGGCTTGAGGATACGCGAGGACCGCGGTTGGTTTGGCCCATAAGTTTGGGCGGGCCACACCGCTGCAGATATGTGATACGGTGCACGCCGATAGGCAGGCCACTGTCCACAGTACTTACATCGCATGTGCTGCGCCTTGTAATGTCGCAGCTTCACTGTCACCGTGTGTCACGTAGTGCTAATCCTGCATGTTACCCCTTGATCGATGGAGCAGGGTGCCGTGCGTGAAGAAGGGGGGCATCCGGTTCACCATCAACGGCCACTCCTACTTCAACCTGGTGCTGGTGACCAACGTGGGCGGCGCCGGCGACGCGCAGTCCGTGTCCATCAAGGGCACGCGCACCGGCTGGCAGGCCATGTCCCGCAACTGGGGCATGAACTGGCAGAGCAACACCTTCCTGGACGGCCAGTGCCTCTCCTTCCGGGTCACCTCCAGCGACGGCCGCACCGTCACCAGCAACGCCGCCGCGCCCGCCGGCTGGCACTTCGGCCAGACCTTCGAGGGCGCCCAGTTCTAGTCCGCTTCCTCCTCTTCTCTTCTCCACAAGCATAAGCGCTGGAGAGAAGAGACGGAGCACTATATTCAAGAATTATTTTGGCATTCGCGTGCGTGCGTGCAGGAGGAGGAAGAAAGGCCGGCCGGCCTCTTCGTTATAGTGAAGGAGGACGCTCCGGGCTACGCTGAGGCTGCTAATTAGCACCCGCTTAGACGCTTTCCTTCTCTCGATCAAAGTCTCAAGTTTACTGAAGACTCGAACAACCATCCATCAAGTACCGTACCGTACGTAGCAGCTTGGCACTCCTTGAAGAAGAAGAAGAAGAAGAAGAAGAAGAAGAAGAAGAAGAAGAAGAAGAAGAAGAAGAAGAAGAAGAAGTTAATAATGGCAGTAGTTATGATCAGTACTAGAAGTACCTTTGGTGGTTTGTACCAGTACTAATTTGTACTACGGGGTGGTGGCCCTTGCGATGAAATTGAAGATTTGCAAGGCCATATTTATGGATCCATCCATGTTCTAGCTAGCTAGCTACCTAGCTGGCCACCCGTAGCCTCCATAGACCGAGTGTGGACGGACTTTGGCTGTTTGCTGGGCTGTATCTTGTTGATGGTCACTCACATGGGCGGGGGACGCCTTGTGGGGCGTCCATGTCGTGCCTTTTCCGGAGAGGAGCCAGGGACAGCGCCCGTCGGTTGCCGTGCTCCGTTTCGTGTAGATGATAGGCCTCTGCAATGGGTCTGATCATCCATCGTCGACGGTTGCGTGAACGCCTCCGCACGCTCAAGTTGGTCGTAGGGTCGGCTCTCCTTCTGAAATGGCGCCATGGGAGCGCGCCGTCTAGGGGTGTGATTTCGCAGTCCAGAATTGGGCGGGCAAACCGCATCTTCCAGGGCTGGCGCGCTCGTCCTGAAGATGGTGTGCTGGCGGGACGTGATCGGGCGTGGACGAGAGCGTCCCATCGTGTCACGTTATCACGTACGCGTGACTATTGTTTCCACCATTTAGGATCACTGATGTGGTACTTGTGACTGCTCGTCATTCCTTCGCTGGACAAAATTAGCGCTCGACCGTAGAATTGTGGGCATCTTTCTCTACCTCTGATATGATAGCAACGGCTGAGGGTTTTTGTCGCTGTGACCGTGTTGTCGGTTTCGCTGATTTGACAGCAGCTTTGGAGGTTGATGTTGAAAGGATAGTTTTTTAAAATAATCATTTAAAAAATAATCATATATATTTCAGTACACAAATGTATTACAAAAAGTACACATGTGGTCATCACAAGAGACATACATAGATATCTTGCAATATTGCACGAAAAACTTCGCACGAAGTAAACTAGAATTTCACTTCGGCAGAATCTTGTGCCACGTCAAAACGTTGCCCACAACCGAAAGGATAGCTGAGAAAGAAGAAATCAGGTTCAAGGTGAGGATAAGGGATTTACATAAGATTCCTGTGAGAACTGAAATTACCACAAAAGATTGCCGTCTCTATGACATGCAAGCAAGAGGAAAAACTTTGAGTCTGTGGATATTGGCGACTTGGATGGAAATGGAAAAGATGATGCCCCTTTCAAGATGTCTGAAGTTGCTTCTGGAAGAATTGCTCTTGAAAGTTTGTCCTTGAAACAGTATGAAAATGTGATTGGAGGGAACAAAGATACTACTAATATAGCTGTGGGAATGGAGTACATTTGGTTGCTGATCCAAATGCTAAGATCTGCAGCCTTGTGATGGGGGAGGCTCCTCCTCCCGGTTTGCGGCCCGCCCTTCCCCGGCGGCCGGCGGCTCGCCTGGCGCAGTCCGGCGTTCTCCCCCGGCAGCGTGCTCCTGTGGAGGTGGTTCTGGGAGGCCTCGGTTGTGCCTCCGCCATCATGGCCATCAGATCTGTCCGGTTTGGCGCAGCGGGATTGCGGCCTGGGCTCCTCCAGCTCGCTAGGGTGCGCCCTGCTCGCTGCTGTCGGGGGCCGGCTGCTGGGTCCCATTGCAGTGCAGATGCAGGAGGCCGCTGGATCTGGCCCGTAGGCTGGCACGGAGGTATGGTGTTGGTGGCTTTCTAGTGCTGCCGGCGCAGTGGTTCTATGAGAGGTGGGTGGGCCAGCGGAGGTGCAGTTTGTGGGGGTGATGGTGGTGGGTAAGCTTCGGGCGAAAGCTTGTCCGTTCTTGCAGGATGACGGCGTCGGCATCCGTGGACGTCATCTCACCTCTCGGGAGGCGGCGCTGTGTAGACCTGTATCCTCTGCAACCCTCGGATCGTGCTCTTAGGATGAAAGCCAAAGGCCCGACTGGGTCAGGCGAGGGTGTCATCATTGTCGCTTCCCTCTTTGGGGCATCACCTTGAAGAACAACAGATCCCATTTGTGCGATCCATGGGCCGGACGCTCGTGACATTGTGGTCGGCAAATGTCCTTCTGGCAATGTGGATGTCTTTCGCGACTTCTTGTGTGGCAACGATGATGGCTTCGGGTGGAGCAGGTTTGCAGCTAAGTTTTGCTAGTCGGTCTCATCCAGCGTGTTCGAGGGGTCATCGGGCTTCACTTTGTCTTTCTGAAATCAGAGATGCTGAGGAGGGCCTTGTGGCGACGATGACACGAAATGAGTGGCCGGTTTCGATGCTAGCTCGGCATAGGCCCATCGCTTTTCTCTTGTGATGCTCGTCGACAGAGTCGGAGCTTCCTGGTCGTCGGCGTGTCTGGTTGACTGCTTGGCATTGGTCGACACAGGCCTCGGCGCTTGTTTGCAGTGAGGGCATATAGGCAGTCGCCTATGGTGGAGTCGGAGTCGCCTAGTCGAATGCGTGATGACGATGGCACCCGGTTGCAACCTCGATGGCGTGTGTGTGTTATTATGTCGGTTGGCATGTCGTCCTATGTGCCTTGTTTTTGCACGCATTTGTGATGGTTTTTACCCGATTTTCTGTTAATTAATCGGGCAACTCTCTTCGACCTTTTTAATGAATCGAACTCTAAGGGACCGTGTTTGAAAAAAAATGTTGAGATCTTGAAGAGACTGCAGGTTGCAGAGGAGATTGCTACTAGACAGGCAACTCAGTTGATCACTTAATAAAGGACAAAGATATGGACATTCAAAAGAAAAGCTTTGAGTTGCATTAATTATACTACCTTAGATATAATATCTCAGGAAGGTAAATGGAGATGCACAGCCTGATAAGAAAGCTAGAATTTTAGAAGAGAGCTCAACTAGACAGAATTATGCAACAAGATGAACTTAAATGGAAACAAGGAGCAAAAATTACAGAACACCTTGAGGGAGAAGATAATACTAAATGCCTACATGCTAAAGCTAATGGAAGAAGGTAATACTCAATACCTACATGTTAAAGCTAATGGAAGAAGGCAACATACTCTAGTTTTTCACACACAAAAGAGTTTCCCTTCGTACGGTTTTCTTGTTTCTCTTGGCATTTCAGCCTTTTTTTAAAGATAAAATGTATATTTTATTTCTTAAAAAGATTCAACAAATTTTAAAAATCAAGATATTAAAAAGGTTCATAATATTTGTGAAACTTTGTGATTATTAGTTTTCAACAATATTTAAAAAGTTCACAATTATTTTTTGAATTTTTTTAAAAGGAGTTACAGAACTCCTTGAGGGAGAAGCTAATACTAAAACCTACATGCTAAAGCTAATGGAAGAAGGTAATACTCAGTACCTACACGTTAAAGCTAATGGAAGAAGGCAACATACTCTAGTTTTTGCACACAAAAAGAGTTTCCCTTAGTACGGTTTTCTTGTTTCTCTTGGCACTTCGGCCTGTCTTTTAGGCAAAAATATATTTTATTTTTAAAAAGATTCAAGAAATTAACAAAATCAAGATATTAAAAAGGTTCACAATATTTGTGAAACTTTGTGAATATTTATTTTCCACAACAAAAGTTCAGAATTATTTTTAGAAAAAAAATATTTTTTAAAGGAACATTTTATGAAATTTGTAACGATTAAAATTTCACATTTATTTTGTTAGATACTCTAAATGAAATATCACATTTATTTTTATGCTTCGCTTTTTTTTTGTTTTTCTATGGTTTTTTTTCTTATTCATTATAATTTGGTTTTCTTTGTATATTTCTAGGTTTATTCGGTATTTCTGGTTTCTTCGTTTTACTTTTGTTTCTTTTGTCGTATTTCATTGGTTTGGTTTTACAATACATGTCTACTCTCTTTTCAGATATATATACAACATTTAGTTTATAAGCGTTTAACAATTTTGAAATACATGTTTAACATTCTCTACAAAAACATGTTTTGAATTTGTTTTCAATTACGTGTTAAATAGTTTTTCAAATACATGCTGAAATATTCCTAAAATGATAAAACACATTTGTTTTGTACTTTTAGTACATTCTACAAACTTCTCAATTTCATGAACACATTTTTCAAACTAGTGAAGATTTTTTTAATGTGACTTACATTTTTTGAATATACGAAACATTTTATTGAATTGCATGAACATTGCTTTTACAGTTGGACAAATACGTTTTTTAAATATCTCATACATTGATTTCGAAATGTGTGAAATTTTATATTTTTCACATTTTTCGTACATATGGTGGACATTTTTCGTACATATGATTAAAATTTCATGTATTCATGATTAACATTTTGTACTTTTTATATTCGCATTTATAAAAATTTTAGACGAAAAGATATTTTTTGTACACATTTAACAATTTTCAACTGCAAGATTAATTTTTTTCAAATTTTTATGTAAAGTGCTTTTCTTACATATATATTACAAATATTTCAAAATATAAACACAGGGAAAAAAAGTGAAAAAACGAAAAAACGTGCATGATATCACTATGACATCAGGACGGCGCTGCAATTGATAACTGGGACGACCCAGACAATTCCTATTTGGGGCTTCACGTGCCCATTACAGTGTATTTTACAAACGGGCGCATGAAACACCCCCATGCTGTGCCGGACCCTGTAGCTTTTTCTCTGTGTTTTTAATCTAACAAAAAATGCATGTTTGTTGTGAAATGAACCAGCAACCTTCCTCATCAAGGTACCCTGGTGTAACACCCAGCGGG